ATTAGCGGTTTGCGAGATTCAATTTTCAATAACTAAAAGCTATTATTAGTATTTTTTATTGGATATTTCATATTATAAAGTACATATAATAATTTAAAACTTACTTAATTGAACAATTTGTAATGCATTAAATAATAAGATAATCTTAATGAAGATCCTTATATGGTTAATATAGTCAAATTGCTAATAGAAACCCTTTCTAAAACAATGAAAACAAAACACATTTCACTTTGAAAAATATTTTAGATAGCTATTAATACTTTTCCCACTGCAGCTGGACGCATATGGCTCAAAGCTTCTATAGATAGCTAAACTACAAATATTTTTATATATATATGTTTATAAAGTAAACCCTAATAATACGAAATACTAAGCTACAAAGAAATAAAGTGGTGGTAACGCTTTTAAGTTTTAACGTCAAAGCAACACGACAAGCTAAAGTCACTAAGGGATTTTGAGCCAACGCGTTGCACTGGAAAGTACGGGGAAGGGAGAGTAACTCCACTAACTAATATTAAATATAAGCTTAAATGTGGGGAAAATACAAATGTAGCAATTATGTAATTTTCAAATATTTAATTTACATAAATTCACATTGAAGCACTTTGTCTTTAGTTTCGTCGGAAATGTGGAGTGCGTAACCATTTGGTCCTCATTCCTGGTCGCACGCATTCTTGAGCATCCTGTCTCTGTCTCTGCATGCTTAATACCTGCCGTTATCCCAGCCAGATCGAGGGTGTGTGCCGTGTCTGCATTAAAAATAGCTGCTTTCGAGCTCTGCGAGACGTAATCCCAGCTTTGGCTGCCTTTTGCCCGTTGCCAACATATTTAAGCTCCACTCCGGAGACCGGGTCCTGTTGTCCTGCTGCCCAGATAATGCTTAGCGACACAGTCCCTCCAACGTACATACGTACACTTTATACATATAAACATACATATGTATATATGATTGTGCATATAGCTGTCTGCCTGCCTGCGTATCGCTCAATTTGCCTTCGATTGCGGAGCCGCCATTTTACCCATGGCAGCCATTCAAAAAATCCCCTTTTCTTTTCGCTCTTTTTGTTGGCTGGGGGCCATTGTGAATCTTGTTGTCGATTCTGACAACGTCGCTGCCGGCTATGAATTTGGCTTGGTTTTCTTTTACTTGAAAAACACAATTGTGTGTGCCGCAGTTCCTTGGGTTGTTTTCAATTTGGTTTTGCAAAAGCCCGCAGAAGTAGACTACAAATATGCGCAAAAATATAATGCCGGGCATCTGGAATAAATTACACAGCACTTATAAGGAATAAGGACAGAAAAGAAGATGGATAATCGATTTTACCTCATAAAAACTAGACCTTTCACATACATAAATAAAAGGGGAAATTAAATTCTAAAATTGAAGAACAAAAATTTTAGGTAATGTGATTTAAATGGGGCAGACCTATTTCCACTCTTAACATTTTCCTGATTAAAATTATATACTTCAATGTATGACCGCAACGAAGATTCAACCTTAAAACCCTACATAACTTTAAACAAGGAAAAAAAAGAGAGAATTTCAGCCAGCCTGTCAAGTCAAATTACAAAGAAGAGACTTTAAAATCCCAAAAGTCCGGTCTCCGGATGTCGAATGCGAGGGTGTGTGTAGGGGCTCTGATTGTGTCGAGTGTATGTGTGTAGGTGTCGGTCTCTTTGGCTACGCACATTTTGGCTTTTGGAAAATGGCCGAAACCAAGAAGACCGAGAGCGCCGACCACTTGGCAGCTCATAAGTGTGCGTCTTGCTTCTCCAAACCAACTGACGGACGCCCCAAAAGCGTTTTGGGGTGTAGCTGCACTGGGAAAAATATGTCAAGGGTATGGAGAGTGTTTTTAATCTGTTGAATATAAATATTACCAGTGATGAAGTCTTCTTTATTAAAGTTAATGTGTAAAATAATTTATAATATAATTTTACAGGGTACAAAAGTTATTTAAAAATACAATTTTTTACCAAAATTATTAAGCTACTTTTGTAAATATGTCTTCGATGCTGGAACTGTCCTAAGGTATTTAAATTTTAAGAGTTTAAGAATAATAATTTAGAGTTTTTGATTCACTAAGTTCCAAGTTTAACCCAAAAAGCGTTGAGATATGTTCGAAGGTCTTTCATAAAATACATTTTGTTTTAAAAACTTTGTATTTGCATCATAATTTGTTGAAATTTAGTATTCATTTGCGATACCATTTCTCTGAGTGGGCGGAGTGCGGGGCAGGTGCGCAGACGTTGCTTTGGATCAGCCGGTCGGACCCGAGTCACTCAGTCAGCAATTTAACGGCTTTAAGGTCATTTTCACAGTTACGAAACAATGGCACAACAATAAGCAATGGCAGCCAAGTGCATAAGCACACACATGTACGAATGTATGTATGTAGTTGTGGCCAGGATATGGGAGGAAAGAAGAAGAGGCAGTTGGAGAACTGCAGCGCAGAACAATACAAATACAAATACAAATATATATATTTATGGGTATTTTTAGTACACTCCAACCCAAAACGAGAGAGAGCTGAAAGATAGAGACGGGCCGAGTTCGAGTAGGAAAGAGAGAGGGAATGAGGGCTAGAAAGAGAGAGCATAGAGTGTGCGAGAGAGAGGGAGGGAAAAAAGCGAAGCTGAAAAGAGCTTTTTCAAGAGACCACTCCCCGAAAACTGCAGGCGACGTCGACGCACACAAAACAACCAATCCCAGGCACAAACACACAAAAAACCCAAAAGAAAACCCCCCACACACACACACACACTCTCGCGAATATGGCAAAGTGTTACAATGCAATTTCCCCGCCGCTATTGTCGTTTATATTGTTGTTGTTGTTGTTGTTGGGCGACCAACCCAAACTTGATTGTTGGAAACAAGTAGAAGAAAACACAACAACAACAAAAACAAGAAAGGGCAGCCTGGAAAACTGGCACAGCCGAAAGCAACAACAATTGGCACAGGGTGCAGCAGCTGAATCGGCTTTCCAATTGGAAGTCCACTTGGCTTTCTAAGGGTTGGGTTGTTGCCCATTCCAACTGTGATTATGTCAGCAGCATGGTGTGCGTGTGTGTGTGTGTGTGCCACCCCCTTCCTACCCGCCGATGAGCAGTGGCATCGGGTGCCGTTAGTCGTCAGTTGCTTTCCAAGCGTCGAAGTTGCCGCTCGGCTTTTTTCCCGGTCATTCGTGCAGCAAAAATTCTGTGATAACGGTAACAAGCCAACCAACAACCAAAAAAAAAAACCAAATAAATAAAATAAATATGATAAAAAATTAATAAGCAGAGCGAAAATCTAGAGAAAGAGAAATACCGTTAACTGAAAATATCGACCGACGGGCGGGTTATCAAAACCGAAATGTGGATTAAATCAACAAAAATCAAAATGTGAATGGTGCAAAGTGGTGATGGCTGAAAGCTTCTTTAAATAAGGATAGCGAAACATCGGCATTTACTAACCAAATATCGCAAAGAATCCAACGCAGCATGGAACTCCTTAAGCTAATGATGTTCAAGAGCGACTTTCTGTCCAACGGCAAATGTGATGATCGCGTACCGCCAATTAATTTGAGTCAATTGCCAGAGTTTTTGCTGTGTAAGTTGCATTTCCCTTATCTGACAGAAAGGATAATGATTGGGGGCCATTGTAACATATAACATGGGATTTTATCCTGTCAGAGGTTCCGGAAAATCGGTCAAAAAATATCTGTGAATCTATCTTCATTCTAGGCAAATATTGCTTGATTACTAAAATCTATTTCCAAATTAATTTTAGGGAAATTTGTCAGAAATGTCTAAGGCAATCATTTTTATTTGCCTGTGCAAATAGTAATGAGTTTAAATAATTGAACATCAAATAAATATGCGTTGAATAAATATAATTGACATTATGAACGTTATGTTCATTCTATTTACAAATTCTTAATGTTAAAATATTCTTGTTTATGCTCTAAATAAACAGTTTTTGTATAGCAAGAAGACAGATTTGTTTAAAAGAATACAATGGGTGTTCTAAAAATGAAAATAAAAAGAAACTTTTAGACTTTTGAGGCCTTGAAAGTATGTTTTCTACAATAAATAATAACATATTTTCAACAAGAAAAAAAGCTGCCTTTACAAATCACATTTTACAAACATAAAATAGCTTTGTTTACATATTACATTGTTTAACTTTTGAAATTAGCCACTTGGTATTGCCAAGCGTGGAAGACTTTTAGGCGATTACAGACAAAAAGTATTTACCATAAAATATTCAAAGGCCATTTAATATAATTCTAATACTTTGTATTTTTTTAACAACAGTATAAGTATTTTACACAGTATAAGTATTTTTTTATAATATTTTTTTATTTACGGGGACAGAACAATGCAGTGCTAAAATCTATATAGACAGATTAGTATTACTTTTAGCTCTACATCTATAGATATAAAAATGTATATGTATGTGCGTGATAAAATCCTTTAAAAAGTGAAAGATACTATTTAAGCTGATGTTACAGACAGCTGGACTAATTTGGTATAGGTAACTTTAAAGTTTACACAGTGTGAGACAGTTCTTTAATTGTTTAAAATTTATATGGTTTATATGAAGATATAGGAAAAAGGCAATTATGCGAATGGAATTTCGAATAATTATATAAGTAATTTATGTAATTATGTAATTTTCATATGTTTAATGGGCTTTCGGTTTCCCAATCATCTAGCTAAATAGCTTAGAGTTCACAATGAAAATCAAGTCATAATCTAGTTAATAATGTTGTCTATAAAGTTACTTTTTAAATAGATGACAAAAGCATTTTCAAATTAGGTTCAAATAGCTCAATTAATATTTGACTTGATTTGTTTTAGTCAGTTCCAAAAATATTGAGGAAAAGAAAACCTTTGAAAAAGAATGATTGCGAGTCAAATAGGTAAAAAAAAGAAACAACTATTCCTGGACTAACGCTGATACGAATAAAAATACACATACACTCTAATTAATTGATACTTATCCTGTCTTACAGCTACGATCCCTAAGTGCGGCGGCTGCCACGAGCTTATCCTGGACCGCTTCATCCTCAAAGTGCTAGAGAGGACGTGGCACGCCAAGTGCCTGCAGTGCAGCGAGTGCCATGGCCAGCTGAACGACAAGTGCTTTGCGCGGAACGGCCAACTCTTTTGCAAGGAAGACTTCTTCAAGTAAGTAAATTTCTCAAATGAAAGGCCAGGCAAAGACTGGACCAACTGGGTGTGGTTAAGCCGGCTTGGTTTAATGAAAAATCTCCTTCCATGTCGCATTTGCCAATGTTTGGGTCGAACAGACGTTACGGTACAAAGTGTTCCGCTTGTGATATGGGCATCCCGCCCACGCAGGTGGTGCGGCGGGCCCAGGACAATGTCTATCATCTGCAGTGCTTCCTGTGCGCCATGTGCTCCCGCACCCTGAACACCGGCGACGAGTTCTACCTGATGGAGGACCGCAAGCTCATATGCAAGCGCGACTACGAGGAGGCCAAGGCGAAGGGTGGGTGTCTCTTCTTAAATTTCTTTCCTCCGAACCCCATTAACCTTGAGGTGTCCACCACATTGCAGGTCTCTATTTGGACGGCTCCTTGGACGGCGATCAGCCGAACAAGCGACCCCGCACCACGATCACCGCCAAGCAGCTGGAGACCCTGAAGACCGCCTACAACAACAGCCCCAAGCCCGCCCGCCATGTACGTGAGCAACTCTCGCAGGACACTGGCCTGGACATGCGTGTGGTGCAGGTCTGGTTCCAGAACAGGTGCGTCGGGTGCTTTGGCTTTATAGTTTTCTTTGTTACTAATTTGACTTTTCCCTATGCAGGCGGGCCAAGGAGAAACGACTGAAAAAGGATGCTGGCCGCACGCGTTGGAGCCAGTACTTCCGCTCGATGAAGGGCAACTGCTCGCCGCGCACCGACAAATTCCTGGACAAGGATGAGCTGAAGGTGGACTACGACAGTTTCAGTCATCATGGTGAGTTTTTTATTCTTATTATGTTTCGAGAAGGAAATATTTACTAGGATCCTACGAGATGTGGGGTTTATGTAAACTATAGATAAGCAAAAAGAGCAACCGAAGTCCTTCCGGAATTCACGTAAGCTCATGGAAGCGAGTAGATCTTTTCTGCTTTTCTTAGAACCCTAAAAACTTGAGAAAGAAAAATACAATTTATGAAATCGGAAATATAATATAAAATATTATATATTATAATATTCATAGTTCGATACTCACTCTGTAAACCAGTATTTTAACGGTGCTAAACCTTAGTGCTTCTTAAGAAAGCTAACTAATTTTACTCTTCCTTGACAGATCTAAGCAACGACAGCTACAGTACCGTCAATTTGGGTCTCGATGAAGGCGCCTCGCCACACAGCATTCGCGGTTCCTACATGCACGGCAGCTCCAGTCCATCGCAGTTTCCGCCGAGCAGTCGCTCGCCTCCGCCAGTTGGCCAGGGTCACACGTTCGGCTCCTATCCGGACAACATTGTGTACACCAATATAGGTGAGTTAAGACCGGGGGGAAAGCAAATTAAAAGTGATGAAAGATAACATCCTTTTCATTTCATCCTTAGATCATGCTGTGGCCTCCAATCTGCATGCCAGCAAGACGCACCATCGCCTGCATAGTAGCAACAATGTCTCGGATCTGAGCAATGACTCCAGTCCCGATCAGGGCTATCCTGATTTTCCGCCCAGCCCCGATTCCTGGCTTGGCGATTCCGGCAGCACTAACAATACCAGCGCCAACAACAACAACAGCACTAATAATGCGAACAACAACAGCAGCAACAACAACAGCAGCAGTGGGGGCGGCGGTGGGGGAAGTGGCAGTGTGAGCCTTAGTGCCGCTGCACCCAATGCTTCAGCGGCAGGTGTACATTACTGATACTCAAATCTGCTTTTGCGTTACTTCGAGATGCAATCGCGTAGCCTGCTGCTTGCCGCAACTGCTGCACAGCAGCATCAGCATCAATCGTCGCCATCTTGAAAGCTTGCGGCAGCTATAGCAAAGCTTACACACTTTGAGACATGTGGCAATGCTGCACACAAACACACACACACACACAACAAACACCCCCTATCGTTTAGGAAATAAGCGTTTTTTGTTTATTTTTAGTGAGAAGAAATCCCCAAAAAACACAATTTGCTCAAAATCCTTGATTTTTACTTCGGTAGCTTGAGATATATACACCCGACACGGCTTGAATGTTACTATCCTTGAACGATATAAACATCACTATCATTTACATTTGTATCCCCTATACTTTAATGTAAATATTGTATATTTGTGTATAGTGAATGGAAACTAAAACTGAATTTTAAATTAATTTAAGTCTGTATAGCGTAAAACAAATGCGGGGTAAACGAGAGCACAACATTGGTTAAGCCCTTGCCCAAAAACAAAAAACCAAAAAACAAAAAAATAACAAAAAAACAAACCAGTTATTTATTGCTTTATATAGGAATACAACCAAATTGCATAGGAGAAATATCAATTACGAAAACGTGATGTCGTATTTATATCTAACAAAAAACCAAAAAATATTTCAACCAAATAGAAATGTCAGTAATGAAGCAACTACGTAAAATGATAAAACGAAATGCGATGAAATAAATTACTATTTGACACATAAGAATAAAAGAAAACAACAAATTGTTAACCAGAAATGTTTATTAATTTATTATTATTTATCACAAAATTACTTCCTTTCCACAAGAAAATGACTATGCGGATCCAGTGGTCGTGTGCCACATTTCCGAGTTGCCGGAGAACGAGATGCGTGAGGTGGACTTCGATGAGCATACTCACATGCTCCTGGTCAATCAAAATGGACGCCTTCGGGCGCTCGGCGGTAGATGTCCGCATCGTGGAGCTCCCCTGCACAAGGGAGTACTTTCCAATGGCCGCGTGCGATGTCCCTGGCATGGCGCTTGCTTCGACCTGGAAACGGGCGACATAGAGAACTTTCCCGGCCTAGACTCTTTGCCCTGTCACCGGATGGCCGTTGACAGCAAGGGGCAGGTGCTGGTGCGTGCCAAGCGATCCCAATTGAGTAAGACCTCGAGAATCAAAGAGATGGCAGTGAGGCAGTGCCGGGATCAGAGATGCTTTGTTGTGGTGGGGGGAGGTCCCTCGGGAGCGGTCTGTGTGGAGAATCTGCGGCAGGAGGGCTTCACCGGTCGCCTAATCCTTGTCTGCCGCGAGAGATACCTGCCCTACGACCGAGTAGAAGTCATGAACTTCCAAGCCAAGAGCATGGATCAGTTGTGCTTTCGCGACGAAAAGTTCTACCGGGACCACGACATAGAGGTACGTCGAGGCGTTTCCGCCAAAAAGCTAGACACTCTACGTAAAGAGCTTCACTGCAGCAATGGAAAGGTTTTGCAATATGACAAGATCTACCTGGCTACTGGTTACTCTGCCGTAAGGCCAGATATACCCGGCGTGGAGCTTGGTAATGTGAAAACTATTCGAGACATTTGCGACGCCAGAAGCATCTTTAATATGGTTAACACTAAAACCCGCGTGGTCTGCTTGGGTTCTAGTTTTATGGCCGTGGAGGCAGCCGCCCATCTGGTCTCCAGGGCAGGCAGTGTTACTCTTGTGGCGCGACAAAATGTCCCATTCAAAACTCATCTGGGAGAACAAATTGGAAGAAGGATTCTGCAGCTTCTTGAGGATAATGGAGTCCATTTGCGCATGAATAGTGACATTGCCCGCATCTTGGAAAACCCCCTGGGCCAGGTGAAGAAAGTAGAGCTGGTGGACAGGTCCCGGATACCGTGCGACCTGCTTATTCTGGGCACTGGATGCCAGTGCAACACGGAATTTCTGATTGACTCTGGCGTATCAGTCAATCCTAATGGCTCTGTGAACGTCAACGATTTTCTGGAGACAAATGTAAGGCATGTGTATGCCGGTGGCGATATCGCCAACGCTTATATCCTGGGTGGGTATAAGGATCGTGTAAACATAAGTCACTATGGCTTGGCCCAATACCATGGACGCGTTGCTGCCATGAATATGTGTGGCCACATCAAAAAGGTGGAAGAGATACCCTTTTTTTATACCATCATCTTTGGCAAAGCGTTCAGATCCGCGGGTTATGGTGATTACCGGGAGGTCATTATCGACGGCAGTCTAGAGGATCTGCAGTTCGTGGCCTACTTTGTGGACAATAAGGATGTGGTGACGGCCGTGGCCTCCTGTGGCCGAGATTCGGTTGTGGCCAAGTTCGCTGAGCTAATTTCACAGGGTAAAGGACTATGGCTGTGCCAAATCGCTGATCCCAAAAAACGGAATAAATGGTTGTCTTTAATAACGCCTTAGTACTAATACTGCTAAGACCTTTAGAAAGTAGTTCAAATAATAATAATTTAGTTAGTTAATTGTGAAATTTTTATAATTTGCAAGCGTAATAATTAGATTTTAGTACCAAAACCTGGCGTCATGAACAATAGCAGTATAACAGTTCGGCTCAAGCTCAAATCTGTTAAATAAAGCTTCCTATATATTAAGTAAAGCTTTATAAAAGCCCTGAAAATAAACTATAACGTTTATCTTATAAAATTACTTAGCTTTTGAAATGTAAATAATTTGTTATATTTTTTTTCGATTTACGATAAGTATAAGTTATTGGATTTTTTATTATTTTCCAGAGCTCTTTAACCCATTTATTATATAGTAATCATATATGGTAGATAGCTCAATAACCTTATAAACTTTTTTGATATTGATGATACCTAATAGTCCTTGATTAATATAAGGAACAGTGTATCCTAATAAAATATTTCTTTATAATTTTTAAGTAAACTCGTAAAATACATATGTACTATGTATAATGCCATCATTCCTCTGTTTTTTGTTTAACTGACCCCAAACAATTAATTTTTTTTTTGGGGTGACATACAGTATAGAAGGTAATTCCCTATGTGTGATTGCTATTAAAATTTTTAGCAATTTACTGACAGTTTAAACACGTTAATAGCCACATCAAAACGGCTATAAGTGTCAAATAACGGTACAGCTTTATTGTTGGTGTTTTGTTTTGCACACAGCATATACCATATGTGAACTTTTTATGTTACAAAATGGGTTTACTTCCGCCAGTATTGAAATCTATTCTTTTGTTAAATGTTTAATGGGTTAACAGTTTAACGGTTAAATTATGTAATATGCGTTGTAAAGTGATCTAAATAGAAACAAAAACCCAGCTAATCAAGTACCTTTTATTTATGAAATGGAATATAGTTAACCAGCAATGATATGAACTTATTGTGTTTAACTGTAGTTCGATTTTGCATTAAATATCGCTAAAAACTTAAAAATATATTATCATATTGGAAATCTTTATCTATAGATGTAAACCCATATTAAAATAATTTTAAATATAAGGATATTAAGTCCAATTTTTTATTTACTTGGTGAAATAATTCATTTTGCTCATAAACAAATATTTTTTGCAAGAATATATTCGTATACCTTTACAGATATTTTTGGCTTTGCTCTTTCTGACAAATTTTCGGAATGTCTAGCTATATTATCTATTAGACTCGGTTAAAACTAAATTAAAAAAACGCCAACAGAATCCAAAAATATAAATATAAAAGGGGAGCTGTACGGACTACCATCTGGAAAGCATGTGCCCCAAGGAACCTGTGGACAGCAGTCTCCTGCCCGACTGTCGCATAGCCAACAGAGTGCTCCTCTTCACGCTGCTGCAAACTCTCCAGGCGGAGGAGCGGCGAATGGAGGAGGTGGACGTCCAGCTGCGAGATCGCTACGATGTGTTCCGTCAGGTGCTGGCCAACTATCCGGTGCCCGTTGAAGAAGACTCCGTTGTCATAACTGCCGGAGGCGATTCATCCGGAAACGAGATCTTCGAGGCCAGCCTGGAAAGTGATTCCAGAAGGATCCCCAACAGAGTCAACTAAATGGTTTGGATGAGTGCTCGTTATGCCAAAAGTACTAAGTAAATAAATAAGAAAGTGAAATTAACTAAAGTTCGTCGCGTGGATATGTATGAGCAACGAAAGTAAAACTTGACCATTAAACGGCAAGCAATAAAAAAAGAAAATTCAACATAAAATTACAAAACAATTTAGCGGCCACAGATGCCGACAAACATACATATGTATATACATTGTACATATTAAGCAATTTAATGTGCGTTTGTTGCGCTTGTTTTCCTGCTTAAAAAACTGGAACCAGTTGGCCGTTTGCCCAGTGAAATGTGAGAGCGCTTATCAAATCTAAATGATCACATTTAACATATTTTATTACAAAAAAAGAGGAAAGAATTAAAAAACGAACGCTAATCTCACTTAAATAATAACATAAAACACAAAAGGGAGGAAAGTTTCAGCCAACTGGAGTTACCAATTACCTACCAAAAGCTATTTATGGCTTAAATTTTAAATAGCTTTTGGTAGGAAATTAGGTTATTTGATAAACATTTTAGAGAAGACTATGTGACAAAACTTTAAAAATTTTGTTTTTATATTTTTTAGGAAATTTTGAATAGGTTATTTATTGGAATTATAGTTATCCAAAACTTTTTTGGATCGAAACTTTGAATTTGATTCGTGAAAGTAATTATAATTAATAATTCATCTCTTAGCTTAAATTTCTTTATTATTTCACATTATTATAACAGCTCACTTGCAGCGCGTTTTAAAGTCATTAAAGTCTACACAACTCCACCCTTTTGCCACCGAAACTCACATTTTCCCAAATGACCAACCAGTAATGGCTAAAACCGAGCACATATTGCAATGAGATCGCTGTCAGCGGACGGACAGATCTGCATGTTCTGCTATCACAAGCCATGGAAATGTGTATCTGCCACACAAATGAACAAATTATAGTATAACCTGGAAATGGTTGCGAATTGAGACCGAGCCGTCATAAAAATCAGTTAATAACCGCAACAGCAGTACATAGGGAAGTGTCACAGTGTGTGTGAGCTGAACCTCTCCGCATGTATATTTTTTAATTTTCATTTTCATTTGGCCAGATCGTTGGGGTATCGTTTCATTTAGTTGACAGAGCTTAGTTCAGCTGCGCGGTTCGAATCGACGGAAACTGAAAGTTCTTGGCTTTTATAATCGAAAGTGAAAAAAAAGTGATCAAGTGCACGCAAAGTGATCAAGTCCTGCGAAACAATGAGAGCACTGCCTATATTTTGTCTGATTTCTCAACTTTTGGCCATAGCTCAAACGGAATCCGGTGAATTCGGTAGGAAATGAGTGAAGAAAGTGTTCAGTTAAGGATCTAAAATTCAAAGGCAATTCAATAAACCACTTAACGCCCATACTTTTGAAAAATATATATAAAATAGCAATGTTTCTGGTGTTTTCTTGATATTAATTTAAGAACTTTTTAAATTGTTAAAATATTTTAACTTAAAATTCGTATAAAGGAATTTTATTTCTTAATGTGATAATTGATATCATGTATGGGTATGGAATACAAACTTAAAGACGTCCTTTATACATATATTTATATGTTTATACATATATATAAATTTATTTTACAACCAAAGCCTCGCTTAGGCACAATCCTTAAGGTCGTAAACACTTCTATATTCATGATTCTCGATTAAATAGTATATATTGTATTAAAACTAGAGCGCAAACTATAAAATATTATACTGGGAACCATCAGCTAAGAGTTTTAAGATCCCAACTATGTGGTTAAGTGGCTACTTAAGAAACCTGAAAAACACCTTAATTTAAGGATGTCTCCTAATAATTAGTGTAATTTAAAAATGTCCTAGAGAAACTACTGATTCCTGGATCGTATGCAAAACCGGGAGCAAGTAGAGCAGTGCAGGGTAATCAAACAAGTGGACACTCTGTGGCTGCACGCTCCTACTACGATGGTGGACACTCCGCAGGACAGACCAGCTGCTCCGTGGGCACAGAGTGCACTCCTCTGCACGATTGTACGGCCCTGATCTATGAGGTGGCTCGGAGCTGCTACTATGGCGACAAATCGCTATACTGCGGCGGGACTAGCGAGGAACTGCCTTACGTGTGCTGTCCCAGCAGTCCGCTGGAGAAGAACCAGGTGTGCGGAAAGTCACTAGTTCAGGGACATTTTTACAAGGGTTTGGGTTCGTATCCGTTCGTTGCCAGAATCGGATTTAAACGTAAGTTTTAATTATTTAATATTAATATTTATTACAAGATTAAGTGATCTCCAATTCCCTTATATCCAGATGTCAACACCGGAGCCTTTGCCTATCCGTGTGCTGGGGCCGTCATAGCCCGGCGTGTCATCCTCACTGCCGCTCACTGTGCCCTGGCCAAGGCCGATGGCCACCGACTGTAAGTGGGTCACCTAGAGCCGCTTATCGGACATGCAGCTATCGATCGACTTTCTCCCCTGGACTCTTGCAGGTCATCGGTGCGCGTGGGTGAGTACGACACGTCCAGCGATCCGGACTGTGCCAATACCGGATTCTGTGCCCCTCGCTCCGTGAACCATGCCATTAGCCACGTGATTGTGCATCCCGACTACAAGCAGGGCCAGTACCATCATGATATCGCCCTGCTGGTGCTCAAAACGCCGCTAAACTACTCGGGTGAGTTGGCTGGGGAGGATCTGATCGAACCTGGGGGACTCGGGGCGGTTACGCTTGGCGGTGTTGGCGTTAATTAAAAATCGTTTTGTTCTGTCATCTTTCCATCTGCTCCACTCGCTCCAAGTTCACAAATGTCAACTGTGACACACGGTGTGTCGCATGCCGCTAATTCTAGGTTGGGGATCCCAACATGTCGTTTAATTGGGCGGCGTTGGGCTTTGGTGCGTGTTTACTGTACCAGCTAATGAGCTGAGCACCGCCTGGTCAGTGGATTCACTTTGATTTTTCGCTTTTCGGATGCAGTTCAATGATCATGAACTTTGGAATTATGATATGCAATTAGTGGAGAGGGGATCTAAAAATAATGCTAAAAATATATAACTTAAAATTTTTAAAATATTATTAACATGATGATATTTATAATATTAACATAATAATATTTAAGAATTTACCTGCCTTTAAGTTATATATTTTCAGTAAACGGAAAGTGAATCCATTATGTTAATAATATTTAATAAAAATAAAGCAAACAAGAAAGAAAGCTAACTTTGGCCAGCCAAAGTTTGTATACCCTTGCAGGTAACAATTAAAATATATCATGACTAAGCCAAAAATGCATTAATTTCGATTCGGAAAGCAGTTTTGTGTTAGTTTTTATTAATTTAAAAAAACTGCATACCAAATTTAAAATTTTAAGAAATCCAAATTTTTGGCCATTTTTGCAAATTTTATCAAATTTCGCAAAAATGGCCAAAAAATCGATTTCTTCCGGACATGTCTAGAAAGATTCGCATGTTAATGCTGATCAAGAATATATATTGTTTATGGGGTCGGAAATGATTCCTTGACTTAGAAAAATATTATTTTGTATTATAAAATCGGATTTTTTATATTAAAAAACTTCTTGATTTTTTTAAAATTAAAAATATCATAACTCGGCCAAAAGAGCATTAATTTTAAATCGGTAAACTATTCTGTGCAAGATTTTCTACAGCTAATAAATCTGCATACTTCATTTAAAAATTTAAAAAATTCAATTTTTTATCAATACAAAAATTTTAATGATGTAACCCCTTATAAAATTTTTCAAAAATGGCCAAAAAATCAATTTCTTCCTGACATATCTAGAAAGATTCCCCTGTTGATGCTGATCAAGAATATATATACTTTATAGGGTCGGAAACGTCTCCTTCACTGCGTTGCAAACTTTTGACTGAAATTATAATACCCTGCAAGGTATAGAATTGATTGATACAATTGATAGAACTGGATTCTGTTTTTTGTTTGTTTACTATTTCTGATTTCTGTCAACAAGGATAAATATTGTTGTTTTGCACAGTCGGTCTATCTATTTTGACATGAAATATAAAATTTAGCATAAAAAATTCCCCCTAATATTCTTTATAATAATATTAAATGGATAAAACCTTTGAAAGTTCATAAAATAATCTTATTTATCCAACTATTCCTTCCGTCATTATTTAAGCCACTGTCCGTTGACTTTCCTTCTTGTTATTCGTAAATTATTGGTTGCCGATCTTGTAGATTGAAATTAACTGAAACGTGCTTTTGATGGCCCTTTCGAACAAATTGAATTTTAAAGCGTAAGCCCCAATTGCAGCACCTCTCGCACAAACCAGAACAAATAAGGGTGATTGCAAGGCAGGACCAAATTGCAATTTGGCCAGATCGTAAACAACACATTATTTTGGTATCCGAAAGGAGGCGTTGCCCAGTTAGCTGGCCAACTTGTTGCTACTTCTTATTATTGCTTTATAATGTCCAATAAAAGACAGCGGTCCGGCATAAATCACTGGGTCAGGCAAGGGCGTTGCCAGGAGGGTGCCTTAAACCGGGTAACAATTACCAGACTTTAACCCGTCTCCCTCTGAATTATAGTTCAATTACGAGTATTATTTTATTTGTTGAATTTTTGTGGAGATTTCCATGTCAAAGAAGATAAAAATAAATTACGAAGTAAAGAGGCCTTTTAAATAAGTTTATAATCTATTAGAGAATCAAACTATTTATAGTCTAGTTAATTATGTATCAAATTTTAATAGAAATAAGTTTAAACTACTGTTACTTCCAAAGGTTATATGACCAAGCAATCTTATATAAAAAAGCCTTTCAAATAGGCCCCCTTCTTGACCATCTTTCGTACGCCCTTTTGGGAGCCTTGCAACAATGTTGCAGTTTTGCCAGGTAGCGATCAAAAGTCAATCTAAAGATTAATGGCCACAAACACACACCCATTTCCACTTTCGCACCGCCAGTGGCCACACAACCGATCTGCCTGCAAAAGACACGCGCCAATTTGGTGGTGGGCAAGCGTGCCACCATCGCCGGCTGGGGCAAGATGTCCACGTCGAGCGTCCGGCAGCCGGAGATGTCGCATCTGGACGTACCGCTCACCAGCTGGGACTTGTGTCTGCGCAACTACGGATCCACTGGCGCCCTGGAATCCCCAAATTCGATTGAGGGCCAGTGGATGTGCGCTGGAGGAGAGGGCAAGGATGTTTGTCAAGGATTCGGCGGTGCTCCGCTTTTCATCCAGGAAAATGGGATTTTCTCACAGGTAAAGCCATAATTGAAATATAATTATTTAAGATATATATTTTTAAATAATACTAGACTTTTATTATGTTAACTCAAAATATCTGGAAATATTTGTGTAAAAAAAATTGAATTTAGATCGCAATATTCTTGTATAATCGCTTTGCAAATTCATTACACAGAAAAAAATGCAGACTCCCTTTTATTTTATTATCATAATTTTTTTTTTAGCTTAAGGTTGAATTGTGGTAATTAAATATTTTATTACTAATTTAAACGAAACATTTTTAAATGTAGTTTCAGTTTAAAAAGAGAACTAATTAAAAAAAAAAGGGACTATAAAATCATATTAATATTTTTAGGAATTCCTATTCTGTAAAAATTTTTAAATTTGCATTATATTTTACATTAAACAAAATATTTAAAATGTATTTCTATAGTTAAAACATTACAAAAACAAACAAAAACATATTACAAAATCAAGTGATTTTCAAGATAATGACACCTCTTTACCCAACAGATCGGCATTATGTCCTTTGGATCGGATAACTGCGGTGGCTTGCGTATCCCAAGTGTCTATACCTCCGTGGCCCATTTTGCCGAGTGGATACATGACAACACACCGCCGGAATAGGCTTATTTCTCTAAGCTTATTCAATAATCCTAACTTAAAATTAAAATTTGCATTATATAAAAAAAAAAACAAAGATACAATTATGCAGAGCTAATATACGACATTTACCTAAGAACATGTGCCCTCTTCTCTGAAACAGTTTTCAGTGATCGTGATATATCTTGATCTGAGCAGACACGCATCCAATAATTTAATTGAATTAATTGAACTCTGACACGAACCACTCGAAGGCGCTTGGGAAATATGAAAATATCTTTTACATAAAAAAATAAAATGACAAACAGAAAAGCGATCGGAGCCGCACTCTACCGAAAGAATCGTTGACTATTCACTAAGTATAGATGGGATTAGGGATTAAAGAAAAGGGAACAAAACAATTAAAATTAGTTGTGTCAAGTTTTAAATTCAATTTATTCCATTATTTAAATTTAAAATACTTTTCTAATATAAAAAAGAAAATAACTTACCATTTAAAAACTAAAATTTCGCCACTGATTTTGTGACCTTTATTTAAAGCTTCTCATTCCTGGTTCGCAATTCGATAAACTTAATCGCTTCTTGGACTGCGTGATTCTGTGTCTGAAGGGAACTTGATTTCCAGAGTGTTGCCTACCTGAGTGCCGGTACCGGTGCCGGTGCCATGTGGCTAATTGGAGTCAGCTGTTTTTATGAGCCACCTTGATCAGCTGGTGGTTTGGCAGGAGTCTTGGCAGCCTAAGAACTGAGCCATACAAATTGAATGGATGCACTGAGAGAAAGCAGCGCGACATATGAGGCGGCAAATGTAATTGCTTGTTGCATAAGCCGCCTTGGTGACACATTAATTTGTTCACATTCCCGCTGAAATCAAACGCTCGCCTAATCAATTTACGGCCGGTCGCTCGCAGATGCTGAAAAGGCACCGCCTGGGGCAGTGTATCACCCAATCGGCGATATTCCAGGGCCAGAGGCTGAAGGCAGAAGCCACTAAATGAAAAATCAATTTGTTTGCTCTCCACACAGTCCCCAGACGGTCAGTCGGCATTCGATCGTCGCGAGTTAAACATCGTCGAGCGCGGCAATCGCATCAATCCCAATCCGCCGGGGCGAAACATTCTTCGAACATTCTCCGCAAACTGTTCAAAATTTTAATTGTATATCGCCGGACGCCGTGTGTGTGGCCAGCCGGAATCCTTCGAAAATTTGAAATGCCTTTAAATATTTTTTTGGTGCTTTCTTATATTTAACAGTCTGGCTGGTTTGAGATTGGCACTAATTAACAATAGTGCCCAATTAGTTACATTTAATATACAGTAGTGAATCACTCTTGGGATTCAATGTGTCGGTACGGCTTATATAAGAAGAGTTACAATTAACTACATGGTCATAAATATGTTTTGCGTTAAACTTATGTGGTACATCCAGTGAGGTAGTGACGAAGAAGGGGTTTACATCCTCTGAAAAATAAGGGAAAAATAGAGAATGTTATTTAGCGTTTTACAAAATGTATGAATAAACAAGGAAGATTGCAATTTTAAATGAATCATAACTAAGCCAAAAGTGCATTACCTTTAATTCGAAAAGCTTTTCTGTATTGGTTTCTATTATAATAACCTAGCTTATAGGGTTGAAAATTTTGCAAAAAAATTTATTTGATATCTTGGACTGTTTTAATGATAAAACTTTGAAAACTCAAGCAAATTTTCTGGAATTTGTTGTTTTTATTTTTATATATTATTATATATTGCCGAAAATTCATATTTTTCATGTATGTATCTTAAAACTCGATTATTAAATATATTAAATGCAAATAAGTTGAAAAATAACTTATTAATGTCAAAATTACTATTTTCCTACTTGTTTTCTAAGTGTTCCAATTGCAGCTATACAGTCGACAAAATTTTATATAAATAATATTTTCATTTTGAAAGAAAAAGAGAAAAAACTGGTATATTTCAATGGTTCAAAAATGTAAAATAAAACTGCAGTTATAATTTTTTTTTATTAATTTTTGCTATAGATGCTGATCATGAATAAATATTTATATAAATAGGGTCCATGTCTACCTTACTGCTGTGCAAACTTCTTCTTAAAGTTATTATAACCTTTTCAAAACATAAATCTAGATCGAAGGTGACTAATTATTTTCGATTGCAGTCTGTAGGCAGTACTTTCAATGTAGATATGTGGTATTTATTTGAACAGCTTCGAGAGCATAATCATCGTTAAGCGATATCTGATCTGATTATATGGCAACCCTCGCGAAGTGAATGTGTGCCAAAAGAGAATAAAACAGAGGCCGCCCTCCGCGAGGCCAATCTAGCGCCAATAAAAAATTAAAATATAAACAAATAATAACGGGCCCGAAAAGTAATTGTTTTTAATGTGCGTAATGTGCTGCTTGGTGCGCGGGTGAGCGTGATAAACTGTTTGTTTACGCCTAAGCTACAGACAGACAGACAAGCAAATAAGCAAAATCCGAAGAAGTGGGCCCAAGAATTAGCAAAGCAAGAAAAAGGCAGGCAAACCCTTCGGACTCGTGCGAGTGCGATTTTTCGCCCACGATTGCGAGAGCCGAAAAGGCCGCGCGAAAAGCGAGCGAGTCATAAACATTCGTGGGCTAATCAGATGGCCAGCGGATCGAGCAGCTAATTAGCCGCCGCACCGCGAATGCTATAGCTGTGAGCGGCCGATCGGCGGATCAGCAAAAGCTAAGCAATATGTTGGTCTGCAGTCAGAAGCAGTAAAGAGAGCTAAAAGCAAAAAATAAAAATTAATTTCGGAGTATTTTCGGAGTTGCAGCTTTAGCAACATGTTGCCAAGCGCTAGCCTCATGTTGGTGGCCCTGCTTGGGGCCATAGCCGAGGCAAAGCCAGAGCACGAGTGCACCAGCATTGACATCCGCAACGATTGCAAGAATATGCATCAACTGGACAACTGCACAGTGGTCACGGGATACCTTATGATCACGTTGATCACCTCCGATGTGCCATGCAACTACTCGCAGTACACGTTTCCCCTGCTGACCGAGGTCACCGAGTTTGTTGTCTTTACGGGAGTGCGTGGCTTGACCAACATTACGGATATGTTTCCGCATCTCACCATTATCCGTGGCCGTCGGCTGTTTCTCAACTATGCCCTGGGTGTGACTAGCATGCCTGACCTGGAGCAGGTGAGTGGCAGCAGAGTCTCCAAAATCAGGCTTTCTTATATTAAAATTCGTTGCTTTTCTTTCTAAGTTGGCCTTCCCGCAATTGATGGCTATACAAAATGGACAAGTGTTTATTGGCAACTGTCCCAAGCTGTGCAATACAGACCGGGTAGGCGTTATATTATTTATTTTCCATCTAATGTTGATTAGAATTTAACCACAGGTCAACTGGGATCTGCTTACCCTGAGCACTGGCGACAACCAAATTATTGCCACGGGCAGCAACTGCAGTTCCCCGGTCTGCACCGGCTGTGCCTCCTCCCACTGCTGGTCGAACCTGTACTGCCAGCGATCCCTAAACGAAAACATTGCCAATCCCAAGGCGTAAGTCCTTACAAAGCAATTCTAACTAAAACAAAGTGTTAACAGCTTCTTAAATCATCCTTAGCAACATAAACTCCTGTCATGAGGAGTGTTTCGGGGGCTGTAGTAATCACTCAACGTCCGCCGCCGATTGTACTGTCTGTCGCGGACTAAGCGATGCCGGAACTTGTGTTAAGAGCTGCCCCAAGGACAAGTAAATAGTCCTGACATCCTTAAAGTTTCTTCACTAACTTCGTCTTCTTTGCAGGTACGTCCTGGAGCATCACCAGCGTTGCTACTCCAAAAGAGACTGCACATTAAAGCACAAATACTACATCTATGGATCGCAGTGCGTGGCCTTCTGTCCCAGCGGCTACAGGGCCAACAGCCAGTTTGAGTGCGTGGAGTGTGGCCCAGAGGAGGCTTGTATTAGCTTTTGCACCCCGGAGTCTCCGGCGAATGCGTTTACCATATACAACATAGCCGACGCCGAGAAGGTGCGCGGCTGCCAGATATTTAACGCCAGCCTGATCATTACCATACGCCAAAAGGTGAACGAATCGCAGCTAATCCAGAGCTTCACCAGCATCCGGGAGATACGTGGTTACCTTAAAGTTTATCGGTGAGGATTATCCAATCTTAAATTCATTTTTACAAGAGATAGATACTCTTTTTTCACAGCTCTTCTGAGCTGCGAAGCTTGAAGTTCCTCAGTAACCTGGTTCGCATTTATGGAGATCCCATGGAGAGTCACCGTTATTCCATTGTACTCTATGACAACAGAAGATTGTCCGAGCTGTGGGACCCGGCCCACAAGATGGAGCTCGGGGATGGCGGCATGTTTATTAATCGCAACAATAAACTATGCAATCGCCTGATGCTTGGCTTCCAAAGGGCGGTGAGCCACGACAGGGCCTTGGACTCCCTCCAGACTAACGACCAGGAAGTACTGTGCAGTCCCTCAAAGCTGCAGTTAAATGTGCAGGTAACTAACATACTTCAACCAGTTTAACTAATCCTAAGCAAAATCTCTTCTAGAAACGCACCTATCGAACTGTTAACCTGAGCTGGCTAAAGTCACAGACCAGCCAGAGACTAGAAATCATCCACCGGCCGCTGCCCCCAGGAAAACTTTATCACGAGGAGAGCGAACTAGAGGCGCCCGTGTGCACGCGCATCAATTGGAAGCGTCGCTTGCTCTTCCCCGACGAGCTTCAAGAGAACGGCACCCACTACCTCTTCGAGTTGGACTCCCTGGAACCGGACACGCGGTACGCCTGTCTGCTGCGTACTTTCAGCGACGACAACTTGCACGAGGCGCGTAGTGATTTGACCTACGTCCAGACGGAACGCGACATTCCAAAGCCACCAGTGCTGCAGTTGCTCAAAAAGACGGACAATTCGCTGAGTGTGCGGATGGCTGGCCAGGACCATGACAGCTTCCTTCTCACAGTGCTCGAACTGGCCGACGATCAGGCGTACATAGAGCAGCGAAATTACTGCCACCAGCCTTCGTACGTTTGGCAGGACATGGACAGTGCCCAGTGGCTGGCGTTCGAGGACTACGACGACTGCTGTGCCCACAAGGAGGAGCAAGCGGAGGACGCACGCTTCATAGCGGACATGCGGGAGCAATATCGCTGCACGCTGGACAATCGCAAGCAGTGCCGCGAACTGGACTTGGCCGAGGCAACCTTACCGCAGTTTCGTCTGCCGGGCAACACCTCGGAGTATGATCTGCGCCAGCTGCATCGCTATCGGTTATACGCCATGCAGTTGCAGGCGTGCAACGAGCTAGGATGCAGCTCCTATACGGCGCTCCACGAGCGCACCAACTACACCATGGGGGCGGATCAGCTCACCCATCTGCAGGCCTGCTACGTTCAGGAGACACAGAAGTACATCATACGCTTCCAGGAGCCCCTGCAGCCCAACGGTCTGGTGGTCAACTATGTGATCCACTATCGGAACAACTTTACCCAGACGCACACTGGATGCGTGACGAGGCAGGAGCACGCCAACGCCGGCTATGTGTTCGCGGAACACTTGAACATCACATACACAGACTGTGCCGTTCGAGTTCACTCCCTGGCCGGGAATGCAATAACGCCCTACGTGCCCATTACTCAGTGTACGGATGAGGAGCAGCAGCTGGCCCACAGCCGGCCGGCCAAGGAACTGGTCACCGACATCACCTATGTGCCAGTGACGGCAGTGCATGCCCGCGGCATTAGTATATTCCTAATTTGTTTCCTCTTCGGCTGCGGTGCAACTCTGGTCTGGGTCCTTTACAAGCGGCGTTGCTGGCAAAAGTGGCCGGGACTGCGGCGCTATATGCCCATCCGGGAGCAGTGGCTGCGCGAGCGTCAGCAGCCTGAGGACCGAGAAATTCTGGTCGATGGCTTTGAAACGGTTCGTTTCCAGAACAACAACATTAACGGCAATGCTGACGATTATCCCATGTAAACGATAATAAATGTAACTTACCACAAATGGGTCCTAGGTGGCCGATGTGCTGGGCTTGGGGGAGAGTGAAGAGGTTTTGGCCTCCGACTCGGACTCTGTGCTGCTGGTTAGCACAAGTCCTCCGCTGGAGGACATCGCTAGTACTTCGCTGTCGGAGGTTGGTGTAGGAGTTCGCGGCGACAGCAGCTGCTTGCGGCTCCTCAGGCGCTCCAGCTTGGCTTCCTCATACTCCTTGAGCTCGGACAGCTTCAGTTGGATCGTCTGTAGTTCACGGCGTCTCATTTTTCTTCGTTTTTCGTAAAATTTGTTTGCAACTAGGGGTGGAAGTGGTTATTGGGATGGCACAAGCGGGCGGATTTCGACCGCAACATCTATCGATTGTTAATCGATATCGGGAAGCGAATAAAAGGGGGATTCTTTGTAGCCTTAAAAATATCGCATCAACGTTTTTTCTGATGCTGCTGCAAATTTTATAATGTGAAATCAGTAAAGGGAATATTAATTTCATTATAATCAAGACATTGTATTATTTTTATTAATCTCTGAAGAAAAGTTTTAAAATAAGAAAATTCCTTAATCACTGTAAAAATTATGGTATTTCACCAATGTTCAATATTTGACTTATTTTAAAGTTATTATATTCATGTTGAAATTATCGTAATATTTAAAAAAATATTAAATCAAGTTTTACCCCCCAAATCGTATAACAAATATCAAATCTAATAATCAATCTTTGTTTATTTTTTTAAACGTCTATTGTACATATTTACATACATAGCTTAGCAATAAAGTTATTTAAAAATTCACTCCTCTTCGCCAAATAGACCCCCTAGTTCCAGATCTTCTCCCCCGGTCCCCGTCAACTGGTGTGCCCTGAATTCTGTAAAGAATTTGCCGTCACTCTTGGCGCTCCATGCCAGCTCGTCCGTCTCGGCAGCAATGTGGCGGGCGTGCTTGGGCGGAGTGAAGTGCGTGTAGGAGCAATCCGTATAGTTTGCCGCCGCTGGGAAAGCCTTCCCAGGTCGCACATCGTAGTGTTCCTCAAGGAAGTTTACCACCTGCTCCTTGGTGCTTAAACTGTTGAATCGGACCCGGAGCTCTCGTCTCATTTCGCCGCTCCACATGAAGGTTAGGTGGTGGTGGAAGCACTGGAACAGCAGGTTATCTCCGGCAGATGCAGCAATGTCTAGCCACTGCTGCACAGAGCTAACAGGCGTTGTCCTGGCCAGCGGATAGGCACTGTTGAAGAGCGCTGGATTAGCGAGGAGTCCACGGGCGGCCATAACGCCAGCAGCTCCCGTCTGGGCATGCAGCTCGCAGGCATCCGCCCAGCTCTCCACATTGCCGTTGACAATTAGTGGGATCTGCAGGGATTGGCGCACCTCAGCCATGGCAGGGATGTTTAGTGTGTCCTTCGAGTGCTTCTGGGCCGGCGTCCGGCCGTGCAGGGTGAGAAAGGTAACGCCTGCGTGCTCCAGTTGGCGACCCAGTTCAATGGTGCGTTGCAGGGAATCATCGCCGGCTAGCAGGCGCATCTTGACCGAGACACTGAAATCGGCGGGCAGAGTTCGCCGCACTTGCTGGACCACGTCGCGCACTAGCTCAGGCTGGCGCAGCAGGCCGCAGCCATAGCCCTTGGCCATCGCCCAACCCTGCGGGCAACCACAGTTCAGATCGATGCCGTCCACGTAGGGATAGATGAGCTGGGCGGACGTCACGAACTCCGAGGCATCCTTGGCAGCGAACTGGGCAATGACTGGCTGGTCGTCGGCTCCAGTGGAGAACTCGTTCTGGCGGGCCTTTTCGCTGTTGTTGATGGAGTCCGAGATCATCATGGGTGTGAATGCCAGCTGGACTCCGTTGAGCCGGACCAGGCGCCGGAACTCCAGCTTGCTGTAGCGCACCATTGGGGCGCTCACTCGCAGGAAATCCGGCTTGGCCTCCGCAAACAGCGTGGCGATGTCGTGGTGTGGCCTATGTTGTGGCAGGTGCATGTCTGTATTTGCTTCTTTTTAATTATTCACAAATGGAAACTATTATTTACAAACAACCCAAAAAGAAAACATATGGGATCGATTTGTTATCGATTGACGATGACGATGACGGTATAGGTCAGGGATTCGAAATAGCCGTTGAAATTTAAAAAATCCTGATTGGAGAAAAGCGTTTAGGGGTGCTTGGAAAAAGCTGATATTTCTGCAAAGAAAAGTTATTTCCAAGGGTATGAAAGTTAAGTTAAAAATAATTTAATGTGAATTTAAATACTGCTGTTACTACTGTCATGATATTAATATTTGTTTACAAATTTAAAATGTATGCCGCATACGTTTAATGGAAGTGTTTATAAATTTAACAATTTAAATTTTTAATAAGAATCTTCTTTTATTAAAGCTTTTATTGTAAAATATAATAGCTTAAAATAATTAAATCTAATAATAAAATCTGAAGTCGGCAATCATCCATAATCTGTATAGCTTTGCAGTTCTTTCAAAATGTATAAGTAAATTAATCAATTTGGCCAGATAAAATTTCAACAGATAAAATATTAAAAGGCCAATATTTGAATTTAATTATATAAACTTTAAAAACAACAGAGTAAAGCGAATAATCAAGGTAATTCCTTAGAGAAATATCTGCAAATATTCTAAGATTTATATAAGATTTATATTTATATAAGCTGATTCATATATTTCTTTTTGTAAACTGATTACTAACATGTCTAGATAGACTTGTCTGGTGATCCTAACATGCCCTGTTTACTTCGTTTTAATATTAGTTTCTTATAAAGATTATGTTAACTATTACCTCAAAAGAGGAAATCCTTATTAAAATAGAAAAACTAGAGTTCCGTGGTAGCCACTCCCCAGTATTTCCGCATGCGGCTCTCATGCTCGTTGAACTCATCCTCGTCGTGTTCCTCCTCATCCAGGATGTTCCGATCCCGCTCTTGAGTCACAGCAAAGTCGTACTCAAAATTGTAGGGCATCAGGCGTTGCAGGGATCCGAAGTAGGCGGAATGGGGTCCTCCTCCTCGCTTGGAAGAGCTTCCGGAGAACTTTCGTGCCTTGGCATCAAACAAGTTGTATCCATAGCTGTGTGCCTGCTGAAAGGAGAGGGCACTGCCAAAATGTCCAGGGACCGGCTGCTTGATGTGTGGAAAAGATCCCAGAGGGACGGAGTTGGGTGTGGAGCAGGTCAGGGGTTGTTGCAGCTGCGGTGTACTGGAGGAAATGAACTTGTTGGTCACGCTGCGCATCAGGTTTGAGGTGAAGTCGTTGCGATCTGGAGTCGGAGCGGCCAGAATGGCACTGGGCATGGGACGCTGCTTGGTAAAGGACTTGGAAATGGTGTTTAGTTCCTTGTCGAAGAGGAGCTGTGTGTTCTGTTCCAACATGTACTCCCAGCACTTGAACTGCTCCTCCGAGAGCACCGACTCCGTCTCGTCGAGCATCTCCAGCTGCTGCTCCTCCTGGAGGACCCGGGCGTGAGCCAGCACGAACTCGTCGCCGCCCCCATCCTTATCCTTGGCCAGCAAATCTCGATCACTTTGGCCACTTGGCGATGACCGTCCTGCCAGGGGCTCCTGATCAATAGCCCGGTGCCGGCAGGCGTTGCTCCGGTCACAGCAGGTGCGTTTGCAGACAGACACACTCGATGCTGGCACGGGAACCGGTGCTGGCTTCTTGCGGACGCTCTGCTTCAACTCCCGGATGAGGTGATCAACGTCGGTGCCCAAGTGCCGGAAGCGCACAACAATCACACTGAGGTTCTCCTCCGCCCCCAGACTCTGGGCGATGTCCACCAGCCGCTTGGCAGCCAGCAGAGCATTCTCCTCCTTGCGAATCTCTCGGGCGGCGCGATCAATGTCCATCACCGACCACAGTTGAGCATTGCCCACCACCAGATACTCGTCGTCATTGCTGAGTGTGAGCTGGGAATAAAAATTAATTTATTAATTTAAATTGTTTAATATTCCATTGAAACGCACCTCTAAAACATGTGGATCTCTTATCGTCTTAGTGGAACTGTGTTCAGTTTCCGTTTCCGTTAGACGCAGCTGGGCGGTTCTGCGCACAAGAAATGAGTCCAGTCGTCCAGTGCAGGCCATACGCAGGACATAACGCTTGCTCTTTAGGGGCCTCACCTTCGAAGGAGCGCGGGTCCGGGTGAGATGAAAGACGGCGGCACTTCTTACCCTCCCGCATTGCTGTTGCGCTGCCAGCAGGGTGAACTTGATGTAATCCTTCATAGCCGAGTCCTTGACCAACTGCTCCTGCTTCATCAGATCGGGAATGAGTTGAACCATTTCCTGAGCCACTCGACCCTGGCCCTCCATTGCCTCAAACATGCCATAGAGTGCTTCATCGGATCCGCCATAGTTGGGAGCCCTTAGCTGGCAGACCGAAAGCTTTCGGCAATCTCCAGAACCTGGAGTTTCCGCAAATCCCATACTCCACGGCGCCGACTTGTTCTGACTCCTTTGAACATTCACCTGTCGGAGAGTGGTCGTGGGCAAAGCGGCTCTGTTGTTGCCAGACACGTCAATAAGGCTCCAATGACGTTGGCTTTGCGTCTGACAAACCTTGAATTGTTGCTCGTCCACCTAGGAAGACAGGATATAATTACTGTGACGAAATGATGGCTTTCAAAATGAACTTTATACCTGCAGCTGAAGGTTCCCTGATAGGTCCAAGTACTTGAGATTCCGCGAGGGTACCAGAGCCACCAGATTGACCCGATCCAGGTGATTGTGCGAAAGATCCAGGACCTTCAATTTGCCCAGCTTGGCCAGCTGTGGCGTACACAGGAGAAGGTTGTTGCAGCAACGGAGCACTTTTAACTGGCCAAGAGTGGCCACCTCTTCGGGCAGTTGCTGCAGCATATTCCCCGACAATACCAGGATCTCCAGATCCTGCCAGTTGCGGATGCAGGTGGCGGGCAGCAGTCCAATACGATTGTAGGCCAGGTGAAGGACCCTCAGCTTTGCCGCATTGTGCAATGACTCGAAAATTGTGTCGTTAAGTTGGTTACCCGACAGGAATAGATTCACCAGGGCGGCGTGGTTGTTCTGTTCGTAGCGGGGCAAAGTAGCCAACTTGTTGCAGGAGACATTCAACGTTTCCAGCCGGGCATGGGTCACTGCAAAGAAGTTATCCGGCAGAGCCTGCAGTTCGTTGCTCTGCAGTTGGAGACTCTGGACACTACCAAAGGCATCCGGCAACTGCTCCATTTGCTTCAAGTCATTGTAAGCCAGATTCAAGGTGGCCAACTGACTGATCCTGTAGTTGCGGAGCAATCCTGTCATGTTGCTTAAGCGATTGTGCGAGGCTTCCAAGAAGGCAAGGGCTGAACAAGCTCCAATCCAGTTGGGCAGCTCACTAAAGTTGTTGTGGGAGATGTCGATGCGCTGGAGCTTCAGCGGCACAGGATGCGTGTTTGTAGTCGAGATGTTGTGCAGGTCTGCAATATATAGTATTATAAGGAAATCAAGGCTTAAGGGAAAGGAGTATCCTTACAATTCCGATCAGCTACTAGAGCCTGAAGATTGGTGGCATTGATTATTAGCTCCATGAGCTTGTTGCGGCTACACTTAAGCATCTCTAGCTGAGCCAGTGAGCTAAGGTCTAAGACCTCCATTTCGTTTTCGCACACCTCCAGCTGGGTCAAGTACTGTGGGCGAAAAGAGAAAACGCCGAGTGGAGGAAGTCGCAGCAACCGGATGCTGTGGGCTCCGAGTATCGGAGTGAATCCAACTTACGTTGTAGTTGCCAATCAAAATGCTCCCCCCCAGCTGGCTGCCCTTCAGGCTTAACTTCTGGGGGGATGTCTGGCCGCCGTTGGTAGCCTCCTCCGGCAGCGGCTCGACGGGCAGTGGATTGGAGCCACTGTGGCTGGCACTGAGCTTCAGCTTCGATTTGTATGGATCCGTCATTTTCCTTGCGGTGGCTTTGAGCATTGTTTCGGAAGTCTCTCTGGCTGGCTTTTTGTATTTCTTAGCTCTTGTTGAGGCTACAACGGCGTTGCACAGCACTTGGCTATGCATCAACGAGCACCCAACCACTGACGTATCGCCCCGAAGTTTATATATGTTTTCATTGGGGAATATATGGACTGCACTTCTAGTTTCGAATTTAGATTATTTACTGCCAATGATATTTTGTATTGTTTTCTAAAGGGTTTTATAGGGAGTATCCGATCTACTCGATGTGGCAAAAAACACCTGTCCCGGATTTGGTAATATATCTGGTAATATACCTGTCCCTCTTTAGGGATCCACACTGGCGCGATGCGACCGCTCAACTGAAGACGAACACGATAACTGCGATGGCTCTGGGTCGTTACAGCAAGACGGACACGCTTGAGAGCCGGCCCGACGGTCTTTCTGTTTCTCTTCGTGTTGCCCAAATCCGAGTTGCGTTTAAGACGTGGAAGTACAGTGGTGCCCAGCGAAAAGAAATAATTAATTCGAACGTTTTTTATACCCTTGAAAAGCTTGCAAAGCAGTGAAGGAGTCATTTCATGTACATGGACAACTCACTGTACTTGAAGCTCTCATAAAACACACTGGACTGGGCAATTCAGTGAGGGTGGTGCACCATGGCAATCCACTTAAAGAGCTCTGCGATCGGTTGCAGCAACGGATCTGTTTCATTTCGGTGGCCCATGGTGGCGGCTGTAGGTGGTGACTCCCCAAAAATGCTGCAAGAGCTGGTAGCAAAGAAGTAAAGACAGTTTGTTTTTTTTGTAGCTTTGTGTTGTTACACGAATTTTAGAAACAATTTGTTTTTTTTTTATTATTTCAGTGAAATATAATAATAATTGTTTGTTATGCCTACGCATTTAGCAGCGAAACTCAGAAAAGTGTGTTTATTTCATGTAAATCTTCTGCTTTTGTGTCCTAATTTCCCGTTGCAGTTCCTCTGCTGACTTTACAAAAATTTTAACAACATCATCTGTACATAAGAAACTAAAGGGCGGGCAGGAAATCATACATATCTCTTTTGGGGGGTGGTTATCTCTTCCTATAACTTGGCCAGTTTATACATATACAGGGGTCAAGTTCTGAGTACATAAAATAATAATTAGACAGCGTGCTTAGCATTAATGTACGCCCTATCCACATGGGAGTGTATCATATACGATTGTTTGCATTAAAATAATATTTATATATATATATAAATATATTTATATGTATATATGTATGTATGTAGGTATTCATATAAAGTACAAAAAAAAAAACATTGCTAAAATACATGTGTAAACAAAGGAGCAGCAAATAAATAGATGGCGAAGATAACTAGAGTGGGTGAGAAATAAGAAAGTCTGTTTTCTGGAATAAGAATAAGTCTGTTAACTAAGCACATTGTGCTGCTACGCCCATTTGTTTATACACATAATAAATTTGTTAAATATTTTTCGCTAAGTATTCCGTATGCTACATGTTTCCGTTTCCGGTTCCGTTTTTCGATTTCCTAGGCTCTTAATTCATCTCATCTTCGTTACGTGTCGCGGCTTACGTAATGAATGGTTCTTTAGCTTAATTCGATCGCGGTTATTATTGTTTACTGAACTGATTCTGCGACGTAACGCGGATTAGGGTTAGGATTACAAATTTTCTCTCTTTTTTTCTTATTGCTCTTTTACATACAACTTAACATTAGAAATATTTAAAGTGTGGCATATGACTAAAATTTGTTATCGACTATGTGTGTGTGTCAGGGCCAGCGTCCGTCTAAATCATTCTTATTTATGGATAAGGGTTGTCAAGATCTCTGCCCTACCTCGATCTCTGAATAATCGAATTAACGCACATGTCGAGAGGCTTGCTTATGGAACTAAGAGACGTGGCAAAGGCGGGAAATTTGATTTCCGCACACTACACAATCTTAATAAATGGTAATTCGTAATAAGTAGGTAAGGATTATGCATAATCATTAATATTATAGCAGTTATTATATTTCCATATACGTCCGCGAATATACGTGCCCTTTGTATTATTTCCCCGTACTGGCCACTGTGCCCGCCGGCGTCGTCGTCGCAGTGCTGATTTGCATGCCGCCCATATCCTTGTGGTGATCACCCGCCGAATTGGCATCCATGCTCGTCTCTGAGTAATCCAGCTTGTAGCTGGCACTGCGCGTCACGTCCTCCATGGACGCCTCCTGGCACTCCCGACCGCTGTGCGTCTGCGATCCGCAGTTGTAGCAGGAGATCACCTTTTGGCCGTTGTTCCCACCACCGCCCGCTCCCGTTATGGGGCACACGGTTAACGCACTGTACGGCGTCGTACTGGGAACTTGCTGCGGTTGTGGCGCTGGAACTGTCTGAACCGGAACCGCGTTCGTGCTCACTACGGCCGCCGTGCTCTGCAGTTGGGGCGGTGTTACCGCCGTCGGATTGCCGCCCGGCTGGACCGGCACGAAGTGGAAGGCCGGATAGATCAGTTCACCGTTGTGCGGCGGCCCCATTGGATAGCGGAAGCCACCACGCACTGTCTGAGGTGCGCCATGCGCCTGGAAAATTGTCTGCTGCGGCGGCGGTGGTCCACGTTGGTGATATGGATAGCTGGCATTGTAGGCTGCGGGCGGTGGCGGTTGAGGCTGCAGAAGGACTGTGGTTGTGGGCGTGCTCACCGGCGACGGACTGATAAGTAACGCCTGCTGCTGCTGCTGTTGTTGCTGCAAGCTGCCGCTGCTAATGGTTTGCGCCTCGCTGACAATGCTGGGCGTGCCCGTCGTGTAGATCTGCTGGTAGTTCTTATCCATACCATTGCGTCCGTTTAGCCGCTGCTGCAGGTTCAGTTGCTGCTGCTGCTGCTTGTAGCTGAGGTGATGCTGCTTCTGCTGCTGGTAACTGCCTAGGTTGCTGGGCACTACAGTGGTGATCATGCCCATGCCCGTATCCACTGTACTGTGAAGTGGCAGTGATAGTTGCGCCGTTGGCGTCGGCGTTTCCGAGGGCGACAGGTCTCCGCAGGAACCATTCGAACTGCCAGACTCACTGCCCGTGGTAGCCGTACTTTTCATCATCGATCCGCTGCCATCATCGTTCATGGTCATACTCTGCATCATTACGTTCATGTTGTAGTTGGTGTTCTGAAAGTGCGGCTGCTGCTGCTGCTGCTGTTGGTGATGGGGTATGAAGGTGTTCGCCTTGACCCGGTGGTGTCCTGGCCGCGGGAAACCGTTGCGTATGAGGCTGTGCAGGCTGGTGCCGCTGGAATTGGTGCTGACGCCTTCGCTGATACTCTGAAAGAATGAATGATACATTTAATTTAATTTATAACAAATTACTTCTGGAATTATATTAATAATTACATCATGTTGCTGCTCGCCGCCAACGGAGGAGGGCGGCGGCGTTGTCTCCACCGAAGGACGTCGAGCATTCTTCTGACCCGCCAATCGTTGCGACATACTCCTCATCTGCTGCTGATGTGGCTGCTGTTGCTGCTGCTGCTGCGCCTGCAAGGGAACATTGATGAGGGAGCGGTCCCGCTGGGGACTTGTTGTGCGACTGCTTGACGGTGAGGACTGCTGGCTCAGCATAGGCGAGCTGGCCGGTGGCACTTGATGGTCCACGCTTTGCGGCTGCTGCTGCTGCTGCGAAGCGGGCACTTGGTGGGGCGGTGGTGGAGGGTAGTGACGCATCGTCCATCCCGTGTTCTGGTGACCGACAATGGCACTGGTGTCCGCTGGAATGGTGATGTTCGACTGCATCAGGTGCGGCATACCCTCCACACTGATCTGATGCGTGCCATCGGAGCTGGGCAAGAGCTGCAGACCAGGGAATAAGTTATCTGACGGCTTTTATCCGATCGTTCGGGTGAACTTACCTTTTGAAAGTGCTGAGGAAATATCATGGGTATGTTGCCCTGCAGCACCTGCACCATCTGAGGGTGCTGCGGATGCGGTTGCGGCTGTTGCGCCTGCATCTGGTGGATCACATGCTGTTGCTGCTGCTGCTGCTGGAGAATCATATCGTGGGGGGACGGCGGTAGCGGGTGCGATGGCGCTGGCGGCGTCTGCGACTGCAGAGCCTCCATCTGCGCTTGCGGTATAAACCGCTCCACCACCAACTTGTTCTCTTTGATCTTGGCCAGTATGGCAAAGATCTTCTTCTGCTCGTCCATGGAGAAGACGGGGTGGATGGCCGCCATAGTATAGACTAGCAGCAGCTCGAGCAGCGTGTCCTGGTCGTTGATGCAGCCAAAGTCACACTCACCCCAGCACTCCAGAGTACGGAAGATCTCGCTCACGCAATTGCGGTTGCAGGCGCGGATAAGGGCCAGGTAAAGGGCCATCTTACGCCGGATCTTGCGGTCGGTGGGGTCGCCCTTCTGGCAGGTGAGCATATCCGCCGCCAGCTCGTGCGGATTGTTCGCCCGCAGCTCCATGCCGCGCAGCGTCTCCGAGTCACACCTGCCCTGCTCCTCCAGCAGGGTGCCCAGGAAGCGCAGCTCGAACGGCAGGCAGGCGGTGAGCAGAGCGTACATCGTTTCGATGCGATTGTAGCTCTCGAGTTTCTCAAACCACACCAGGACGTCCTGTTTGCAAATCATTTCCAGTTTTCCAGTGTTTCAGCTTGCGATCCCAAATCCGTGTGTGATCCTGCATCTACTTCGCGCCTCGCTGTGGATCGCCGATTTCCCTGCTCTGTGGGCCCGAGAGTGCGTGTTTCCGTTCTGTGTGTGAGTGTGTGTGTGTGTGTGGAAGTGTGTGAGTGCTCTAGTTACGTGTGGTGGGTGCAAAGGCACAACAACAACCACAACAACGGCGGCAGAATATCGTTAGGTGGCAGCAGCTGCTGCTGCACCACATCCGCAGTCGACGAGCGCTGGCTGGGATCCGCGCCTGGACACGGGCCAGCTTCCCGGGCACTGCTAATTGGCTTTTCACTGCCCGTCCCTCTGAATCGCTCGCTTTTTCGCCCCGTTTCTGCCGTTACTACTGCTCACAAAGGCTGCCAACAACTACAACTAGTCGCGTATATTTTGCGCGTTAGCGGGAGGAGGCGAAGGCGACGGCGACGTTTGTATCGGTGCGGGCGGCGGAGGACGGGGGGATACACCACATTGGCCAGGCACTCGCTACTTTGCTACTTTGGACTCGCTGTTGGGCCGCTGTTATTTGGGAGACTCGCCGCTGCCAAAAATTCTGAAATTTCCGCGATATTTGTCGCATCCGCGCGCGCTCCACGAGGACAGTTTATGCAGCACTCACGATCGGGGCCTCGCGGTATGGGTCACTAAATGGGGCACTTTAATTATTTCATTTGCATTCTATGCACTTTTTGTCAAATTTTCTATTTCCCTTCCACTTTGGTTCGGTGTGACCGTGGCCGCTGTTTGTGTTGTTTGACCCAATGTGACCATAAAGCGTGTGCGCCATAATACCAATTCGCAAATAATAAGAACAATAAAAAAAAAGTTACATTCATTTTTAAATCAATGTTTTAGTTTTTTTAGAATTAAAAATAAAATGATTTATTACATTTTCATAATTAATATCACTGTGCGAAAAAGTATTCTTTTTCTTGGCATCTGGGCACACTAGAAAGCTTGAAACCATCAAAACCCCACAGTCTGGCAACGCTAGTCGTTTGTCTAAAATGTTTAAAAAAATATTAATTTATACATTCTTTATTGTAGCTTGTTTTTCAGCATTTCGATTATCATATTTGAATTATTTTAGTTTATTTAGGGCATTTGACGTATAAATATATTGTGTTTATTGGGATTTTGGCAAAACCATGGTAATTAAATTATTATTCATAAGAAGTAAGGATATTAAATAAAAAACTTTATTAATCTCTGGAAAGCTTTTCTGTTAAAGTTTCATATATATAAATGGTATTAGTTCTTACTTTTTAACAAATTAAAATAAAATTTTTAATAAATTTTCCGCCATATGGTGGACTTTTACCCAAGTGTGGGGAAAGTACCGTTATAACTGAAAATCAACTAGTTCAGGGACGAAATCCAAGCCTGTTTGCATCCTTGGTAGTTCCTTCGTTAAGTCAGGGCTCCGAATAATGAGTTTCGCAAATGTAAGGTTTCTTCAGCCTTTGTTTGGCGGGAAATTATTTGAAATAAATGACAGCTCAAAAACTTGTAGACCAAAATAATAAAAAAATAGTAGTAGGAAAGGATTAGTAGATACAATTTTAGCAGGATGTTTGTATGGAACATTTTCGGAAAGCAGCCAATTCTTATTTACAATGTCATTCTCTAGGTGGATTGACTGATAGAAAAAAAACTGTTGAAACAGCTACATATGGTATGTATTAAGAAAATTTACATATTAAAAAAAAATATATAAATATATATTTAACAGAAAAGAAAACCTTTACCTTTACAACTGCTGCCCCTGCTCCCTCTTCATTTACCTGTATTAAGGCTTTTTGTAAGACTTTTACAATTTTGATTTTTGATTTAATCACAAGGCCTTCAAAGTTCGCATTTTCATTGAATGCACGGCGAATGGCCAACTGCAAGTAAGAGTACAATACTTAAATCCCTCGATAACAAGGATAAAGATATATCTACCATTTTAAGATAATCCTTGATTTTGAACTTTGGCAGCTTGACATACACTTTTCTTTCGAGTTAATCTCAGAAATGTATGTTGTGTTATAAATATTTCAAATCTATTATAATAAAGGTCAACGATATTATTGTTTCAATTGATTTAAATTATATCCCATTTATACATGTGTGGTTGAAGCCTAATTTACAGAAATTTACGTTTAGTTTTAGGCACCTTTATTTCTATTCCACTCAGTAAGGACTCTCCTTTACCTCAAAGCTTGCTCAGAGTTTTCCTCGCATCCAGGCCAATTCTCCTCGCCCGAAATCACTTCGGGGCCCCTCACCTAGGCTGTCAGAGCTCCGATGGCCACATGCCGTGGCAATTGATGTCAAATTTATAACGACAAATACTCGAAAAGTTTGCCACGTAGCCCAAACACACACTTGTCCGCCGTAGTGGCCAGACATGCTTGCTCCCCTTCGTTTCCCCCCTGGTGGTTTCCATGCAACCCCTTTAGCAGACCCCCCCCCTCCACCCGGTTGTTCACATTTCGAGCATCATTATTGCTTTTTGATTTTTCGGTGTGAATTTGTTGAGCAGCAGACTGTGCGATTTCGGGTTGCCCCAGATGAATTATGGCCAGCAGATCCAGGCTCTTGGCTGGAACCGTGCCCAGGACACACCACACCGCCGGCAGCTGGGAGTCCTTTTCGACGGAGGGAACATATTAATGCAATTTTATTTAAATTATGCTACATTTATGCCTCTTGTTCGCTTTGATATATTTGTTTTTTATTCGCCGCCAGCGCCCATAGCCATCGCCCTGCCGGCACAATGGAGCGGAGAGACAAGGGAAACAGTCATCGGAACTGGCCTCCTTATTGTCCTTTTGTTGCATTTCATATTGCCTTGTCTGCAAAGTTTTGTGCCTCCGTTCCTCGGCATTTATTTATGGCCATCAAACAGTTTATGCCAGCTGATAATTTTAAATGTTAATTAGACTCCTCGCCCTCCCTGTCGCCGTGCGGCAGCCCGGGAAACCGTCCAATTATTAAAGATTTAATGGATGGCAAATAAATTTCTGTTTCACAGGAAGGATGAATTAAATACAAATTGATATATTAATATTAATAATTAAATTGCAGTAATGCGTAATCAATTGTCAATGAGTTGCAATTATGCAGGCCACGGTTTGTTGGGATGATAGCCTCGAGTTGGGAGCTGAGATTCAAAAATTTGTGACATTAAAGAGGAAACCACACCTGTATATTCCGCAGGGTTAATTTAATCCTATTAAAAATTTCAATTTAAATTGTGCCAGAAAATAATAAGCATGAAACTGGTGGTTATAATATGTTTGTTGTTAAACAATGTAAACATAACAATAAAAACTGTCTTTAATATTGTTTTTATAATGATTTTAAAAATGCAAAGAACGAAAGGAAAACATCTACTTTAAAGTAAGTGCTATTATGGTTGGTGTTGAACAATATAAAAAGGATATATATATAAGGACATATATAATACCAAGTAAAACCGGAAAAGAAAAACACATCTTGTGCCATATTTTAAGGTCTATAAGTAAGAATAGAATGGTTCCCCATTTCCCTTTTTAAACTTCCACAAATTTGGCAAGCAAACGAGCATTAATTATTCGTGTGAATAACTCTGACAGGACCTGCTCAAATTGTAGACAACTTCCGTGCGATTCCGAAGCCATTAGGTGCAGACTGAAGCAGAAAAATGCCTCAGGTATATCAAGATTGCTTAATTTTATTCGCACTCGCATTGAAAATCACTCCGAATTGTTTGCGGACATTCTTTTGGGATGAGCCTGGCCCAGAGCAAGGGGAAGGGATGGGAACTTTGCAATTATGGCCAAGGAATAGAATTCCCGTCGAGCCGTCAAAACCGGAAATGGCAAAGTGGCAAAGCGCAAAGCGGAAATGGCAGGCACAACACAACGCAGCGCAACAGAAAAATGCAAATTTTCACGAAAAGGAAATTATAAAAATATTTGTCGGGGCCACCACCTCCTCCTGCTGCTGCCTTGCTCGAAAAATAGCAAAAGAATTTTTGCACGTGGATCGTCCTTGTTATTGCAAGGGGCTGTCTGAAGTCCACTCGAAGCGAAGGTCCCACAACTCAAGTGCTCCGTCGTCTGGGGCAAGTTTTTATATTATTTTATTCCGCTTTTTTTTTGCCCGCCACTATATAACAAATAACAAGTAGCTGGATATATATATATATATATATATATGCAGCCCAGATATAAATGGCTGTGTGGGGAAGTAAATTTATGCACTGGCAAGTGAAAGGTGGAGTTCATATTTTAGCCATCGCCAGCTAGCGAGCGAGCGAGCGATTTCAACTTTAATTATTTTTACAGGTGCAATTTATTTACATGAATTTCAATCTCCGCACCGGGGTATAAATTACCATAAACATCTCCTGTATGAATACAGGTGGATATATGGGCTCTTTTTCTGTTTTTTTTTTTTGTTCCTGGGCTTTTTCCATGATGAATATTTAATGCAGAGGGAAGAGGGGAGGAGAGAGCTACTCGAAATGTCAGATACAGCGAAACAGCAAAACGAGCATTACAAACAAAGGCTTGTTCCAGACTTATTTTCCGAGGCTTTTTCGGAAATCATAAATGCAGCAACAACACATACGCACAGGCTGGGCTCGTTGGGGTGTGTGTGAGGGCGAGTGTGTGTGTTAGTGAGTGTGCGGATGCACAGGTGAAAAGTCAGAGAAAGTCAAATTAATTCCACTTAATTTGTTTTAACCACAAAAGCCAGAGTATCGAATGCCAAATGGCTGTCAATTCGGCGGCAGAGACTGCAATTTTCACATTTCCATGGAACTGAGTTTTAACCAGCTTTGATAGGGCATAATGCGAGAGGAAACAATATAAAACTCTTAATTTTATTAAGTTTAAATTTAACTTAAAAACACTTTATTAAAACTTATTATTTTGTATTTTAGGTTTATTTTTAAAGAAATTATAACAATTCAATGCTATTTTAAAGTGTTTGCATTTACATTAACATTTCTGTAAACATTCTCTTAACATAATATGTTTTTTTACATCCCTGTAAAGCTTCCTTAAATCCTGACTGTTCAGTTACATTTTAAGGACATCTGTTAGTGGTAACATTGCTGTTAAGAGCTCCCCCACTTTCCCTGTAAATGCATGTACAGCTGCAAAATAACATAATTTACCACTTTTTGACATAACATTTATGTTGACTAACATATTGAAAATATCCTGAAAGTTGTATAAAATAATGGTAAATTTCCCCTGTGAAAAGCTTCAAGCTTTCAAGCTTAGTTTCACAAAGCTTTTGGCATCAACAACCCCAACAACTTAAGCTGCGCTACCCGCATTTTTTGGAATTTAGAAACCTCGCTTCTTGGCTCCGATTGGCCGAAGGCACATTATAAAAGGCAAGGCCATGTCCAATTAAAGTTCAGTTGGGCTTTGGGACCGTCAAAAGGATGCTGCTACCAGGATGTGCCGGACTATGCTTGGACGCCAGTGAAGGGTAAAATTACTACTTATTTAAGTTAATAAAAGTATTCCTAATAAAATGTTGAATTCTGTTAAAGTGTGATTTATTGTGGGTGGAAAACATTAGGGGATACAACTTGTTTTAAAATTAAAACATTAAAGCAAATACTTTTTGTTTGAAAGATAGTCCTAATCTTATTTTGCTATTGCAGGATATAATTATTTTGAATTGAAAAATCTCTAAAAAGTTTATATATTCCTAATTAGCATTACAGGAGATTAGTTATTATCTTTATAGTTGCTAT